TTATGATTACATCAGACCAAACTAGCTCGTTCATCATCTTACATCACGTTACCTTGTGGCCCCTGTAGTTGTAAAAGGGCAGATGGCAGCGCTTGGCACGGGTGTGTGTACCGCGTGTATCCACGCATGTGTGTCTGTCTGTGGGTCTCAGGAGGTGCAACCCAACTCTGCAAGCCAAGCTGTGCCAAGTACTCACAGCTGGCTGCGACCAAGCAGTTGGTCCCTTTGGACAAGTTGCCCCCTGCGCCAGGACAAACAGGAAATGAGCCCTGGGGCCTGGCAGGAAGCTGGCCAGTAGGAAGAGAGGTGAGGAAGAGAATGCGGTGAACAGCTTGGCAGGGCAGACTGGCAACAGAGGAGATGTCAAACGGCCGAAAGGTGGAGAGAACAAGAATGGAGAGTTGGGGAGGGGGATTTTGTAGGGAAAAATGAGAGAAATAATGATGATTTGAAGGATTGCACACCAATGTTTGAAGACATAAGTTGAACTTTTACAATTATCAACATCAAGTAGTTCAAAAGTTTTTAAATACAGACGATTTTGCAGTTGCAAAAGTTAACTTTTGAAAAATTCAGGCCATCAGTGCACTTATTTAGTTGAGAGAAAGAAAATAAAGTCAGAAAATGGCATTAAGAAAAAAAAAACCCAAAAACACAGCTTTTCCAAAACCTTCATACTGTCAGACTGACAGTATGATAATTTCAGTTCAAAGCAGTTATTTATTTTAGTTACTTTGGTACATTTGTTTGATCAGACTGTGTCATTAATTCTAAAATAACCTGACCTTAGTGAGTGATGGTCAGCTCTTACTTGGGTCCAGTTCAGGCCTGGTAATCACGCGCTTCTTGCTTAGTTAGGTCTAAGTTTATATCCAGGCCTCAAGTTCTGGTTTCCTGCAATCTTCAGATGCGTCTCTGCTTCAACACACCAAGATCAAATAATGTAGTCAGTACCTGGACTCCAGGGAACTTGAGTGCATACTGAGGAGGTGAATTAGTCTTTTTCCTCAGCTGTGGTGAATCAGGGACGTCTCTAATTTGAAGATCCCAGAAGTGGACCTTCCCTACAATGATTGTTAATGTCTGGCATTAAAAGCCATCCTGAATTATCATATCTCTGTTACCTGCTTTATAGGTAAATTAACACATAACCACAGTTTTAAATAATCTGAGCACTGTACTGAGTTTTCTTTTTCAAGCCAATGCAAATTCATGTCTGAGATCTTCTAAAAAAAAAAAAATAAATAAAAAATAAAGCATTTTAGCTGGCATCTCATTAAATGGACTTTAAACCATAGGAAGGGTATACTGTTTATTTTCTTTGCGGTTTAAAAACTAACTTTTTAAATACTTAGTAACCAACCCATGCCTTTTTTACAGCCAGAGCAATAATTAAAGTTTAAAACAATTGGAACTCTGACAAGCGAAGCTGGATGAGAGTCAAAGTTTATGGACCGTGCAATGGGGAAGGTGGAAGGGAAGTAAAAGAAAAGGAAGCCCAAATCCCAAAGAGTGGCATCTTCCAGTAACCACATTTCCATAACGACCGTTTCACTTCAAGGCTTTTCCAAACAAACGAAAGCGTTTCACTCCCCAGTTTTCATCGTGAGCAGCGACTGCTTCTTGGCTCGACTCAGAAGTCTGCGTCCTGTGCCAAACAAGTTCTTTCCCCCTCTACCCCCTCTGCTCTCTCAAGACGTCGCGGTCTGCCTCGGAGGGTCGGCAGTGCATTAGGAGCCACATCTCGCACGCAACTCAAGCTGCCGAAACTCCCGTCCTCGTGACGTGAAGCTCATTCGGGCTTGAACTGCCAAAAAAAGAAAAATATGTATATTTTTTAAATCCCTCCCAGCTCATTTCTTAAGCATTCCCTGAGAGATGGCATCCCAGACATGTATTATCAGCTGGTTCTTTTACTGCAAGGGCAGACCACCAGAAATAATCACCAAGAGAATGTCTTGTTGGAGTTTCTGCTGGGGCCAGGGTCCCTGGAAATTAATTAGTTTCTTCTTTTGATGGAAGGTCAGCAGTTGGTTGTTATCTGGGTTTCCTATGTTGTCTATAATTGGGTGGAATGAGATTTCACTATTTTGCAGGTCTGGTTAAGCATGACAAAGAGAACATGATAAAATTCAAGACTTCATTCCTTCTCCCAGCATCTCAGTGTACTGTACTATTGTACTCTTTTCTTCCTTTACTTTTATCTTTTTGTCCTTTCTTCTATATTCACTTCTAATCTTCCGTTGTTGTCATTCCTTATTTCTTTACGGGTTCTTTCTTTTCCTGTCTTTCCATCCTTGTGTTGTTCCTTCTGTTTTTTACTTTTTTACTTCCTCCTTTGTGCACTCCTCGAATTCTTTCTAGCATTTTTTCTTGTGTCCTTTCTTTTCCTGTTACTCCTCCCATTTCTTCCTTGTTTCGCACCTACGTACTGTCCTATTTTTTACAAAATTGCCTTTCTTGTCTCAGTCCACTTTCCTTCTGTTGTTGTTGTTTTCACACATTCCAGATTCAATTTAGAGAAGTCTGTATTTTCTTCATGAAAACTGTAGGAACCCTCGTGTTGCAGAGTGTCAAAGTTCACTAAATGTTGCGTTCTTCATTTCCTTCTAGTGTTTTTTTTATTCATGATAACAGCCTTCTGCTAGTGTGAAAATTACCCATGGTTTCACCATAAAGTAGTGTTCAAAGAGAGCTATCAAGCATTGAAAATGACTCAACACCCCAGCTTTGAAGCAATGATCCATTTTCATCTGCATGCTGCCGCCGGGTTTCACTTCCCTCCACAGTCACAGGGGGCAGTGTTGCCCTGTGATCCAACCCAGGCCATCCGGAGCGCAGCCGCTCTCGTTCCACCACCTCTCTTCCTCTGAAGTCCTTCCTCTTGTGTGTCCTTGTTATTGTGATGAGCTGCGCCTAATTCCAGAGCAACCACCGAACACTTGGAAGCCGTCCCTTCTAATCTGCTCCCGAGTCAAGGCCGGGGTTTGGGAACCTGCCCGACAGCGAGGCCGGAGGCGCGACAAAGACTGATTTGAGACTCGGGGACTCTCAGGGTCTCCCAAAACGCCGGAGCAGAGACTCTCTCTCACCACCCTGTTAATCAGCAATGACACCACTCAAATTGCCAGTCAGTCTGTTCGCAATTAATCTTTTCAACTGCAGATTTAATGCCGTCAATGGAGATCAGGGTGTTGCTGCGTAACACAGAGAGTCCCATATTAATGTAGCATCATTGTCTTTTGGATCACTAAAGACGGGCTTTTAAATTGAGGATTGAGCCCAGATTGGTCAGATGGAGGCTTTTTGTTTCTGTGCTTTTCGTACAGCTGCTTCAGCTCCAGGTTCAGAGCTCATTGATTGTCTTTGACTTTTTATTCTGGCTTAGTTTTCATTCGCACCTTTTACTTTTTAGATCTCATTTTGAAAGTCAGGTTGTTTTGAGATTGAACCTCCCTCAGAAAGAAGAAGCAAAAAGCAGCGGTGCCTTCAAAAAACATTGTCTCCTGCTGACGAATCACATCTCTAGCGTTTATTTCCTTCAATTTCTGTGAACAATACTGACATCTAATCACAATGCAGCCTCTGACCACATCCGTATGCTGTATTAAAGATCAGCGTGATAGGTGAGCAAAATTAGATTATTTATTTATTGTTTTCTGTTTTTCTGATCCTTACCACTTTGATGGAATGAAAAGGGAAATGAGGAGAAGCAGAAACTGGCCTCTCTGTGCATATTTTGTCATCTTGTACCCATTTCTGCATGAATCACATCACATTTCTAATGTTTAATGCTGTTTATGAGACAGGTTGTGGTTCATGTTTCGAGTGGAGGCCAAAGGGCTTGTGGTGTTCAGTCTTTTTCAAATCAAATACCGTAGATCATTTTCCTTCCACTTCATATATTTTCGCCGCTTTGTGTTGGTCAGTCGCATAAAATCCCACCGAATTACATTGAAGCAAGTGATTGAAATGTGAAAAAGTTCACGCGCACACACACACACACGCACACTCCTAAAAGGTTGGAGATATTGGTTTGTAACTTTGGCGCTCTGCCAGCTTTTCCACCCTCCATCCGTCTGTCTGATTGAGCATGCTCATTACAACCTTGACAGCGTACCACAAGGGTTGCAAAGGATACCAAGCAGAGCTGCCAGGTCTTCCAATTGCACTCAAGTGTCTGTTGGAAAATACATAAGCTCACCTAGGTACATAACAACCCCCCCGTGTTTAATTTATTTTATTTTTTTACCTATACGGTACAACAACACACACACACAGAAAAATAACACATGAAGCACTTTGCTCCCCTCCTACGCCCCGTCCGGTTCCAACCCCTCTCTGGATCACTGTTAATCAGTCTCGTCCCATCTTCTCTCCACTGGCTGTCAGTGGCTTGTCAGAGCCCCTGCAGTCCGTCACACACTGCTGCCGCTAATGACATCTGATGACACCCGTCGTTGAAGTCACCCACCGGAGATGACTCGGCTTCCTCGCCACTTTCAAACGCTTTTCTTTTGTTCCGGCGGCGGCGGCGTTTGAAACCCGACTACGCGTCTGCATTAGACTCACAGCTCTGCCTGACTCGACCCCGAGATCCAAATCAAACATTGAAGTTATAACTGTCGGATCATAAGTAGCAGATGGGAGGGAGGGAGGAAATTACAAGAGCTGTGAATAACGAACTTGGAACATCTCGATTGTTTACCCTATGAAATGTTAAGTACATTCCCTCACTCGAAAGGGAAATGTACACCTTATTCTGACATTTTGTAAATGTTCACATAAGCAACCGGAAAAGGTTGAACTTTTGCTTTTAACAGCTAGTGTTCTGCTAACAGTTTCTCCGAGTCTGTTAGCAGAACACATTTTTCTTTGTACCTTTTCTGTCTTTCTCTTCACTTTCCCATTTTGCTGGTTTTTCTCTTTTCTCGTCTGTTTTCCTCCTTGCAGAGCTCCTTCCTCACCTTCTGTTGTTGCTCTCATTTTCTCTTCTCCAGAGGAGGAAGTGGAAAACTTTGACGTGTCCAGTCTCCAGGAAGAGGCTCTGAGGAACATTGAGGCTGACAGCTTCTGGTGCATGAGCAAACTGCTGGACGGCATCCAGGTTTGTGTGTGTGTGATAAAGCGATGAAAGCAGCATGTATGTGTACATATAACGAAATCCCTTTTGTTTGACTTGACTTTAAAGCTCAGATTAAAATGTATTCACATTTCCAAATTTAGAAATTTCCGCTTGTTCTTGAAATTTCCAATTATTTTGTGGCTGGGCTTTGACTGGGCCATTCTAAACCATTCCTTTGCAGCTCTGGTTGTACGTTTAAAGGCACTGTCTTTCTTTTATGAAGTTTCTTTTTAACAATTGAGTTATTTTTTCATGTCTTCGCTGTAGAAAAGCATCTCCAAAGCATGATTCTGCCACCACTCTGCTTCTTAGTCCTAGAGTAATATGAAGTTTCGGTTTTCTGCCGTTACATTGCTTTTGGCAAATCACAGAAGCAATGTGATTTTTTTTTTTTTTTCAACAAAATTTTGCCACCAGCAGTTTGCATTTACTTCCTCCTCTAATAACAGTGCTCTCTGAGATATTCACAGGTTGGGACATTGATCGGCAACTTTTCCATCCCTAAGGGACATTTTTGCCCCTGATTCAGCAAAGCAAAATTTGTTTGGGTTCTCCAAAGCCACATGAATGAAAATAGCTTTCTTTTTTTAATATATGTTAATAAGAAATAATTTATTTTTTTGAATGAAACAATTTTTTTTATGCTTTAGGTCAATCAAATTTATTTGTATAATGCATTTCTCCAGCAAGGGAGTTCACAGTGCTTTACATCCTAAAAACATAACTTCAGCAAAATATTTAACAAAAACAAGGTCAAAAAAGTGCATGATTTGCAATCAAACAACAAAAAATAAAAAAAATATTTTACTGTTGGTGTTATTCTTGGTGGAAATGTTGTACATGTACTGCGTGGAAGCAGCTCGAGGCACCATGTTTTAGTCACCATTAAATTTTGGAACATTGCTTAAGTTTTTAAAACAACTTAATGGGTAACAATGGATTTTATTTAGGAGGATTTAGTTATTCTAAAGTGACTGAATAACTTTTTCTTGTACATTTTCAGATTATTTGTGAAAACTTTCAATGCAGCGTCTGATGTTTTCATTCGCTACTTGCAAAATGTCATAAACTTAAGTATTATGAATATCTTGCCCTGCATCGTATCAAAGCTCATCAGAAGAAAAGAAGAAGCTTGCAAACAGTTTGGTATCTGGTGCAGTGACCATCTGAGCTGCAGCTTTAGCTGCTAAGTTTGTCTTCGCTTTGATTTTGTGTCCATGTGAAAGTCGCTTGTGTGCAGCAACTTAGCAGTCTAGACTGGTAGAAACCCAACACGGATCTCTCTTGTGTACACGCTGCGCACGCCGTGTGCTTTTCAAAAACGCGCCTGGCTCCGATTCACCGAAAGCGGTCCGAAGCGTCTCGAAAGCCTTTGATTGCAAACTTGATTTGGTTTCGTGTTTTCATCCTGAAGCTCTTTGGCCACCAGCTCCTCGCCATCGACCCCGGCTCTCAGCGGTCACGGTCCAGCCATCTGTCAATTCCAAACGGGGCCCGACTGAGCCAATGGTGGAGTCAGCTGCACCGCTGCTACTTAGCACCCTCCATTCTGGCTTTATTTCTCACACGTCTTTGGCTTCCTCTCCTTAATTTTGTTTCAGTTTTGTGAATTTTACTTACGGTGTCGGGAAGTGACGACAATTTAAAAGAGCTCCCATAAATCAGAGGTTAAGAACTCTGCCTTTCTTGATCGTTTCTCTTTGTTTATGTCGCCGTAATGGATGTATTGTATTTGCGCGACTGAAAAATTTTCGCCCCGGCCCCGCGCTGAAGGTAATTAATAGTCCAGACCTTGTGTTCTGCATAAAATGTGAGCATCCTTAAATAACCGTTAACCAGTTGCTAGGCTATTCATTCAGGAAATTAATAGACGCTGTACCTTGTTGCCCCCTGAGAGAGCAAGACACAGCAAAAGGAGAGCCGTAGTGGAAGGAAGAGAGAAGGAGGATACAGTGTGTGCTTTCGCATGCGTGTGGCGGCGGCGCGTCCCCGTGCTTGTGTCTGTGTGTGACCTTGGCTCCGGACTAATTATGTGCAATGCACCAGGGAGGCCCCGTGTTTCCCCCTAATGCTTTCTAAACAATCTGACCGAGGGTTGGTGCCTGAGCGCTGTAATTAGTTGGTGATCCTTGCTCCGACCTCGACTGCCGCCCCTCCCATGTCCACCGTATGTTGTTGCAGTAAACTGAGGTGGCGAGGGCGGCTGGGTCGGCACCTTGATAGAAAGCAGAGGGGGATACATGGTTGTAAATTTTTTTTTTTTTTACAAATTATAATCTGAAATGTGTGGTGTGCATTTATATTCAAACCCCTTTTGTTGCGACATCCATAAATGAAATGAGTAAATTGTTGTGTGCTGTATGATCCTCAGAGGTTTTTTTGCAGAATATTTGTGAACAAATAATAATGCAGGGACCAAGAAACACATCAGTTTTCGGTCAGTTCCACCCAGACCTTTAATTTTTTTGAACTTTTATTCACATTTCAATAATTAGTTCATTAGTTTAGCATAAGTGCTTCCTCACACCGTCTGTTTTTAGTTACCTAAATGAGCACAGCGAATAACATTTAAATTTTATTCTCATATTTTACAGCAATGATTGAAAAGCAGGTTAGATTTATTTTTGATAAAACATTACAATCCCAAAAAAAATTCTGATTTAAAATTTCCAAAGATTAAACTTTTGTGGTTTTGTTTTTGTCTTTTTTTTTTTTTTCCCATTCAAGTGCACACCGCACTTTGTAAACCACATGTCACTCTCCCTCCACTGCTTCCGATGCGCTGCTATTTGTCACATAAAATCCAGTTCAATTTGTGGTTGCCCAGTAACAAAACATTGCGGGCAAAAAAACCAACTTGAAAATAGTGTGTGCTTTTCAAGGCAGGCAAATGTTCTCATTACTAAAATGAATGTACTTGCAGGACAAAGCTGGTTGAAACGTCTCGACACCAGCCACACTGTGCGAGTGGCTCAACTTGCTAGCCTTTTGGTTTTTCCTCCTTTCTTCATTACAGTAAATTATCCATTAGTGCTGGCTTTAGTGCCTCGCTGCTAAGCTTCTCTTTTACCTAAAAGGGAGCGTTTTGGCTGTCAATTCACTTAAGCAGCCTCTTTAATGAGCTGCCGCTTTAATTGGCAGCATCGACCCCCCTCTTCCTCCCCTCTCCCTCCAACACACACACACACACACACACACACACACACACACACACACACACACACACACACACACACACACACACACACACACACCCCATTTCCTTTAAGGAGCATGCTAGACTGAAAGATTCAAGCAGTTCTGTTTTCTATGTTGACAAATTAGACTAACTGGAGACTTTATAAATAAACGTACTGGCTTTCATAGAGATGCAAAACGGTTCTCAATGTGAGGTTATTGATGAGTTTTTCTCGGATCTTCCACACACACATGCACACACGCATACACACACACACATGCCGCCTAGTGGACAGCGGGAGAGGCTTTCATGAGTGAGATGAACGTTTGTCTGACACTGCAGGCCTTTTCTCCTTTAAACGGACAAGCGAAGGGGAGTGCATCAGCACAAAAATGGCGCACAGACCAGTTGCAACATTACAGTAAAGTATTGCGCTACTGTCTCGGCGCTTTGACTACAAACATTCAAATGAAGCATTGTTTATTAATGTCATCCAGTCATGTGACCCGTTAAAGCGCTTCTAAGGAAGCCGGGAGCTGTCATAAGCCATCTTCAAATGTTGCAGTGAAAAATGAAGTTTTCTTTGATTAATGCATTTGCCTGTTTTAGATGAATCTTTAAGCTGACCCACACGCTGACCCGGGCTTTTCTTCAGCCAATTAGTCTGGTAGCGTGGACGGCGCCTCCGGCTAGCTTCGCTAATTTAACTTGTCAAAGCGATTCCGCGTAAATTGTTTCATTAAATTTCAATGGAGCTGTCATAAATGTGTGCTGTTGATTAAAATCTGTTTTTGTTAATCAGAGATTTAAATTTTTTATGTTTGCAAAAAGGAAAGAAAAAAAAAAGTCTCATATCACATTTGACAAACATTAGTCACATCAAGTGACTAATCCACTTGATGTGCTCTTTTCAGATGCAGCCATTGAGCTTTTGTTCCTCTATCGGACTAGAAAACGAAGTCAAAAACTTTTGAGAAGTCCATTTTTCCTCCTACTTTAACCCCAAGGGGATCTCTGTTTTTAAAAGCCAGCAAAACCTGTCTTTTATGCTAATTCTGCAGATGTGCCCTTTACAACGGGGGCTCTTAAATATATTTTTTGCAGTCCTGGACCCTAACTTTGAGAAATGTAATCTCGCCTTGGGATCTAAAGTTATTATATTTCAACAGTAATCCTGACAAATGGAGGTGGAACCTTAAAATATTTTTTTTTCTTGTCACAGCCCCAGCGGTTTGAGAATACTACTTCTCAGTATGCTACCATTGCTCTGAAAGTACAAGGAAGCTTTCCTATCAGGCTGTAATTTGGGAATGGCATACATTTTATGTTCCCTCTCTCAAGTCTATAAAGTAGAATAACATATAAAAGTTTAGTAGAGAGAAGAGAGAAATTAGCAATTGCTTCATGGAGCCACTTGTTCTTTTTTTTTCTTTTCTTTTTTTTTTTTACCTATCACCTTGAGAATGACATCCACAGCAACTAGCCTCTTTATCATCCTGTTACCTCTTACAGCTTTTTCAAATTCAAGCCCTGCCACAAATGCTAAATTGAATTTACTTACAGACTTTAACTGGAACTTTTTAAACACATGAAAATTAGGGATGCGCCAATGAATCCACCCCAATTTCCTTAATTTTGGGAGCTCGATAATTAGCCTACACTTGCATGTCAAACATATCTTATGTAACTATGCAAAGGCTTGAAAGTCAGCCATTGTGCCGTTGTTCTCTAGTTTTGCAATGGAAATTAGCATAAGCTTTGTTGTCCGGCAGGCTGACTCAAACGGGTTAAAAATCACTTCCAG